GGGGGAAGGTGTCCCTGCCATGTCAGGGGTGGCACCAGACTAACCCTCAGGTCCCTTCCACCTTCTGTTCCGTGGTTGTGCCAGGGGCTGTGTGTGCTCAGAATCCCTGTGTGAGCTGGGGCTGTGTGTGCACAGAGCACAGGGGTGCTGGGGAAGGGGCATCCCCCATCCTGGCAGGGCCCTGATGGCACAGGGACAGCAAGGAGAGCCCAAGGAGGGCAGAGTGAGGGTCACGAGTGACAGCACAGAGCAGAGAACTGCAGAGAAGCAAAGACAGGAGGTCAGAGAGGGAGGAACAAACCCAGTGGGGTGGTGGGGCTGAGCCCCCGAGTGGGACAGGGCAGCACCTCCCCTGCAGACAGGACCTGGCCACATCCCTGTGCCCATTCCAGAGCTGGAAAAGGGGCCCTGAGAGCCCTGGATCCTCCTGGAGATCTGGGGCAGCAGGGAACAGTCCCTCCTGTCCCACAGAAAGGGACAAGGGCCTGCAGTGCCAGGACAAGGGGGAAGGAATGGATTCCCACTGCCCGAGGGCAGGGCTGGAGGGGACCTTGGAAAATCCTTTCCTGGCAGCCCTGGCACAGAGTGCCCAGAGAATCCTGTGGTGCCCCTGGATCCCTGGCAGTGCCCCAGGCCAGGCTGAATGGGATATTGGGAAGGAATTGTTCTCTGTGAGAGTGGGCAGGCCCTGGCACAGGGTGCCCAGAGAATCCTGTGGTGTCCCTGCATCCCTGGCAGTGCCCCATGACAGGGTTTGGAGCAGCCTGGGGCATGGGAAGGTGTCCCTGCCATGGCAGGGGTGGCATGGATGGCACTGATGTTCCCTCTCCCATGAACCACCCAGGGACTCTGTGCAAACCAATCTCAAAGAAAATTGGCTCAAAGGCCCAGAGCATCAGTGCAGCTCTCACTGAGGATCTGCTTTGCAGTTCTCCACTCTCAGAGCCCCTGGGAACAACAGCCCCAGGATCACCCATGCACCAACACTGGAACTGCTCCCAGTGATCCCCCCAGTCTTTCCTAAACCCTGTCCCCTCCAGGCCTCATCCAAACCCCAAAAGAGAGCTCACACTGTCCTTTGAATGTCTCCCACAGGAATATCAGGAGAAGGAAAACCATCAATAGGAGCAGCCTGAGTGATTTTGGGAAGGAATTCTATGATGCAGTAAATGTCTAGACTGGCTTCAAGTCTTAAGTTCTGGATTAGGAAGTTCTCTTTCTTCCAGAACAACTTTCAGTCACTCTTCCATGGCTGATGGAACAGCTCATGTGGGTGAGAATGGGAATGGCCAGATCCTGTCATTCTTGGCTGCAGCAGGATGTCCAGCCCAGCAACACTGGAAATGAGAAATTCCACTTTTCCTTTTGGATGTGTGACATTGCAGCCTCAGTGACACCATTCCAAAAGGGGTACAAACAAGGTGGGAATGGTGTGTGAGGGCAGGACACAGCCAGCACAGCACCCAGCTGGGTTTGCGTCCATGGGGAGCTCCCCTGTGCAGGGCTGGGCAGCACTGGGGGAATCACAAGGGACAGGCTCAGCCAGGGCTTGGACAGATCCTGCACAGCCTCCCTCAACATCTGCCCCTGAAAGGGTCCCCATTCCCTGGTTTTACACCCTTCGGGTGCCAGATGTGCAGGAGCAGCCCTGCTCTGTGAAAGGACCCCCCATTCCCTGGTTTTACTCCCTTTATGTCCCAGACATGCAGGAGCTGCCCTGCTGTGTGAAAGGATCCCCATTCCCTGGTTTTATTCCTTTAGGAGCTGTCCTGCTCTGTTGAAGGACGCCCATTCCCTGTTTTTACTCCTTTAGCCCCCAGACATGCAGAAGCTGCCCTGCCCTGTAAAAGGATCCCCCTGTGAAAAATGCATGTATTTTATGATTGGCTTTTTGCAAATATTAAAATGAATATTATATGTGTTGTGTTAGAAAGTAATGCCATATTAATTCTCTTAAGCACTGTGTTAAATATAGTTTGAGGTTATAAAAAATGTTAAAATAGAAACTATGCTATGTAAGATGCTTTATTTAACAGAAAGGGCTTGCAGTGAATAGCAGCCACAGGACACTTGAATCTTTCAGAGAAAGGGAATTTGTTGCCTGCCTATCAGAAGAAACGAACTTCTTCCAGCCTTGGAGGCACTGTTATGATTAGAAGGAAGAAGCTGACAATGACCAGACAGAATCCTGTGTTTGAATAGAATTTATACATAATGTATGAAGTGTATGAATATGCAATGGGCTATTGTTCTTAAGGGTTAATCCTCTGTTAGCAGGGGTCCTTTTTTGGGCTCGTGATGCCCAGAAAAGGTACCCTGATGTTCGTAACTTTTTGCTTTTATTGTCTCCTATTGTCCTAATTCAATTTGTCCAAATTGTTATTACTCCAATTGTGTTACTATTCTTTTTAACAATTTTAT